GGCCGCGAGCACGTTATGAGCATGGTATGTTGTGATGTTCTTACATGGCACGCGTGTCAGAAATATCATGTTCGCACCAGTCATATATTTTGTCACCCATTCACGTCACGTAACACCGAATTGGGATTATGTGGAGCTAGCAAAACGGCCGCGAGAGCATCATGAAGGGCTCATTATACTCCAATGTAGCGCACGCTGGGCAAAGCGACGCTACGTTAGCAAAACGCGAGCACTCAATAGTCTGACGGCAGGGCGCGGCAGCAACCGGCGCGAAATGAAAATCCGACAACTTACCCAGACAGCACTGCGTCTCCCTCTTTTCGTGACGGAGGGACGCCGGATGCGCTGAAATGCGCATGCATCAAAACAATTCAGTGCGGCGCGCGCCTGAAAGTATATGGCAGGACCGCCGTCTGGCGCGGCAACACCGGCGCGATGCGCTGAAATGAACGCCGGCGAGCACATGCACCGCGTCTCGTCGAAATGTATTGGTGCCTTAACTGTGGCATGTAGTCATGCTCTCACATGACACGCATGTCGTGATTGTTTTGGTTGCATCGGTCACATACCTTCGTCATCTATTTCGGTACCGTAATACCGAGTTTGGTATATGTAAAGCTAGCGAAATGGCCGCGAGCACATCATGAGTGTGGCATGTAGTCATGTTGTTTCATGACACGAATGTCGCAATTATTATGTTTGGATGTGTCATTTACCTCTGTCGTCCGTTCGCGTCACGTAATACTGAGTTTGGTACATGTGAAGCTAGCGAAACGGCCGCGAGCGCATCATGAGCGTAGCATGTAGTCATGTTTCATGACACGCATCTCATGTTTATCATGTTTGCACCGGTATCATACTTTCATCATCCATCCACGTCCTGTGTTACCTAATTTGGTATAAGAGAAGCTAGCAAAACGTTAGCGCATCATGAGCATGGCATGTAGTCAGGTTGTTATATGACACGCATATCATGATCATTATGTTTGCACCAGTCACTACCTTCGTCATCCCTTCAGGTACCGTAATAGCAAATTTGGAATATGTGACGTTAGCGAAACAGCTGCGAGCGCATCATGAGTGTTGGATGTAGTCATGCTGTTACATGACACGCATGTCATGATTTTCAAGTTAGGGTCAGTCGCTTGTGTTCGCCATGCAATCATGTCATACCATACCAGTTTTGCAACATGCCATGTAAAAGAAACCACCACAAGAGCTTCAAGACTATGAAATGTAAATCATGACATTCATGACATGTATATCGCGATATTCAAGTTATGACTAGTCAAATAGGTTCTCCATACAGTCATATTATGCCATACCATGTTTGGTATTAATACTGTTATCGAAACAGCCAGGAGATGTAAAAGTTGTAGACGGCTAGATAGATAGATAGATAGATAGATAGATAGATAGATAGATAGATAGATAGATAGATAGATAGATAGATAGATAGATAGATAGATAGATAGATAGATATGCTCAAAGTCGCTGAAGTTCGCAAAGAAATGCTTCGCATCTAAAATTATGGCAGTATCTCCAGAACAGTATAATAGTCGGCACTGTCTCAGTAGATTCAAACTGCAGTTGAGGGAAGATATTCTAGATGACGCTGTACTGCTATATCTCCGATTGGTTGCTGCGTGGGTTGTGCCTGGGCGCGCGGAAGGAGTGCCTCTTTCAGTCTCTGGATCGTCGCTGTAGGCGGCGGATCGTTGGTGAGGCATAGACGTACCAGAGCGGTGGGCGTGGAGGGCCGCGGTGGCTCACTCTCGTCCCCTCGTTGGTTGGGCACGGGCGAAGCGTTGTGCAGGGCCACGGCGGCTTATAGATGAAGTGCGCGGATGGACGGTTGGACGGACGGATAGATACACGGACAGACAAATGGATGCACGGAAAGACGGACGGAAGAACTCAAGAACACACGGACGGACAGACAGACGAGCAGGCAGGCTGACAGACGGACGGAGGGATGGATGGACGGATGGACGGGTGGACGCTTCACCCTAATTCATCGTATTTCACTTCGTGAATATACAGTCACTTTTTTTATTTAGCAGATACGAAGCATGTTATGGAGGAGTTAGATCCGGTGTGCGGCGTGATCACCTTTACTGTGCCTGTGCTTGTCTGGCACGGCTTGCACTGGCACAAGCGCCGCCAGAACGCACTCAGCGATAGCGTGTTCGGGCCTGTGTAAGGGTCCTGCTAAGACGCTGTGGCCTCTCTCTCTTATTATATCTGAGCAACCTTGTGAGGTAGTTGGGAACGAGACTTTGCAGACACACCATGAACCAACACGTTGTATGCTAGTCAGAACGCACTGGCACGTGCTAGCACAGTTGGGCCTACATAGGTGGCTCTGTAAGAGCCATAGTGATCAAACACAGTGTGCACGCACCGTGCTGTTTCACGTCACCTCATGGTCCCCTTTAGCGAGAGATGGCGCACTTTTTCTACTACAGAGTCACGCCAAGTCTCGTAACTACTTTTCTAATGGACCCTAAAGTTCGTAAAATGTGAATTGTAGCTGAAATGTGGACTGTGAAATTTTATAAACATTAGACATGCCCTTCTATGATACTACAGGTAGCCATCACGTCGGCTTTAAGTCAATTGTAGGTAGGTTCTATCCACTGAAGCTCATATATAAAGTATTGTCCAGGGCTAACATCCTCGTGAGCACCAGCGTTTTATATGAGGTGATCGATTCTGGTGTTGGTAATACTCATGTTGCTGTTGGAATCATTGCGCAAGTGCAAACAGCTTGTCATATTGTGGGCACATATGTCTGTTTAGTTGTGTATATTGTGGTAAACATTAATTGATCCCTGCAACATTTGTACAAATGCCCACAATACTTATAACGTCAATTCATAAAGTGTCACTCAATAAACAATTACATGGCCACCTTCTCTCTGCATGCTTCACACAACGCATATTTCTAAGGTACGTGGGATCTGAAATTTTTTTATCATGAAACACGAAACAAGCAGAAGTCACTTAAAGTGCAGTATATAGTTGCTAAATGTGACAGATAATACATACTAATAATATGAAACTTGTAACAACTAATAACTTTGGAAACGCAGTCATAAATAGTATTTTATTGCTAAATGACATGTGATCACGAATGCACACAACATTGTCAGGAAGGTGATTCCATTGAGCATAGGGACGCGCTAACGCGGTTGCGTCAAAGGCTTCAATGCGGCCTAAAAGAGTTTTTGAACAGGGTACATGTTTCTTTGTGAATCTGTTTAGGGGCGAAGCTTCTAAAGCCGTGACTTTGTCCTTCTACTGTGACCGGTTCGGGACCACAAAGTTTGTGGATGTCCTAGCAGGTGGCGCTAAAGTGCGGGACAGACATGCAGACAGATGAACGGGCAGACGGATGGATGGACAGACAAACGGATGGACGGACGGATGGACAGACAGACAGACAGACAGACAGACAGACAGACAGACAGACAGACAGACAGACAGACAGACAGACAGACAGACAGAAGGATTCACGGTTTAGTGATAAAACCCTCCGAAACTTCGCTCCCCTCATCATCATTCACTCAGTGGGTATGCAGCGAACTTTTTGTAAAAACTGTTTCACCAGTCCTTTAAATCATGTTATTTACTACGTGACTGGAAGGTGGGCAGGGCAGGACAGTTATTTAAATCTAGAGATGCACAGTCCCCTTTGAAATACAGACCAACATCTCTCATCTGTGCATCTTGGAAGTATTTAGAATACATAATTTATTCCCATGTCGTAGTCTTTAGATATACAAATTGATCATTTTCTCCCAATCAACATCGTTGTCGTAGACATTTGTGGTGTAAAACAACTGCTTTCGTTTACCCATGACGCTTTTTAAATTAGACAGCGGAATACTAATTGATTGCATATTCCTAAATTTCTCTAAACGCATTGATAACGTTTCTTACCCGTTACTCTGTTTTAATGAAGTTAAACTAAACACTGACCGCAGTATATTACCATGTATGGAATATTTTTCGCTAACAGAACTCACTTTGTTACCACCAACAATAACAATTCACAAGAGCCTCAGGTTACTTCTGGTGTGCCTCAGGACTAAGATTTAGGTCTTGTTAATTTGTTTGTTTACATAAAAGAGCTGCCTATTAACATTCCATCATGAATCAAGCTATTTGCTAATGAGTGTGTTATTTATGAACCTGCATATGCAAACACTGACAATAAATTTCTACAACAGGATCCTAATGATGTTTCTTTTTTGGTGCACTAAATGCAAGATGTGACTAAACGCTAATAAATGCAAGGTATTGCGAATTTTTTGTAACTCTAGCTCTATTGACGTTTCCAACTACCCATTTTACGATAGCGTTTTAGAAAGTGTTTCATACTACAAGAATCAAGGCGTAAAATTTATCCATTACTTCTAGAAGTACACTCATGTCACCTAGGTAACTAACAATGCCGATTGCACTGTTGGCTATCTACGAAGACACTTTAAGGGTACCTTTGACTCCAATAGTCAGTTTATATGAAACCCTAGTTCGTGCGAAACTTGTGTATGCAAGCTCTGTATGGGATACTGCCCATAACACACCAGCTCAAGCTTTAGAATCCGTCCAAAAACATATTTCCAGTTTCATTCTTTCCGATTATGCACGCACATTTAGTGTATTATCTGTAAAAACACAAGTCGCTGGAAAGCAGTGTTCATGTAAAAAAGTATTCCCTCACATCCTCCAAAATTAACTAGACATGTAGCAGAAAACGTGACACACTTTCGAGACTACTGTTTTTAATTTGTGCTTGATTTACTCGTTCTCAATTCATCGAGTAGCTGAAAGCGCTTATGTCGCAATGAGGACTAAGCCAGTATGGTTGATTGGGCTAGTTGGTGATACATGACTGTTTGAAATAAGAGCGCACTATTCAGACGTGGACGAGGACTCAGTGTTCGCTGTTTCCTTTCGTTACAAGAAAATTCAGTTCAAGGAGAATGTCTTACCCGCTTAACTCAAAGAAGATTACCACGAGGCCCAGGAGGACACCAAACAGCAGTCCCCATGTGGCGTTCAAGATAACCACACCCAGGAAGCTCAGCGACCAGAGAACCTGGATAAAATTTTTGCAGCAAAATCAAAACTGCTTACACTGCCTAACATTGTTATCCCAGTGCTTTTCATTGATCTCCAAGACATTGGTGCAATGTTTTCTTGACCGATTCAAGCGGCATATATGCAAATAGGTAGTAAATTATGAACATGATTTCCGATGAAACCGCACAGAAATTCGAGAAGTGGTTTACCAGACAGGTGGATGCAAATTATTACTCCCTAAAAAGGCCATTGCGACGGAAATTTTTCATTGCTTTTTCTCGAACTGTGGAATGCACTGATATTGTTGCCTGATTGGCGATCACAAAACAAGGTTGAAGAATACTGTCAACCCTTTACGAGGATTAATACAGGAGTGAAAAATACATATACCATTGTATACAATATACAAAATCACAGATATAACAGTACATTGCCTAAAAAACTAAGCCATTGAAAAAACAAACAGTGGAGTATGAATGCGTTCTCCTGGAATACTCTAGTAGTTTAGCCAGAACTTGGAGACACCAAAACAAGATTTTCAGTACTTTCTAAAAATTTTTGAAGTGCTAGCTGTGCTACAATGCTCGAATCCAGAGCACTCTATTCTCATATCACGCGAGGAGAAATTAAAAAAAAATGGAAGGCGTTGTTACAAAAGTATTCTTCGTACATTTGGTTGTGTTTTTGACGCACTATTCCTTTTTATTTTTTAACGGTGAAGATTGAGGCAATAGTTTTAAAGTGGCCTTTAAAGCGTAGGCAACTCTGCTCTGTGCACAAGCACGCTCAGTGCACTGTTCGCTGAAAGTGGTTAAAGAGAAATCTTACTGTGTTGCGCTGTGCGTTCTCAAGCATAGCTTTGTGAGCGTTTCTTGAAAGAAACCACATTACATTCGCGTATTCCAACCTTGGTCATATAAACTTAATGTAAGATAAGTGCTTCATATTGTTAATACCATGACCTAGCGTCCGTTTTAGTAAAAACGACTTGTTCATTGCGTTTTTTTTTTGTCACCTGTTGGACATGCGCAATCCATTTAAGGTCGGATAATATTTACACCCCTTATTATCTATGCTGAGTTGTTGTGCGAAGGGTGACACCATCAAGGGAGCTAAAGACAGTTTGTTTATCATTCTGCTTCCGTTCTACACGATCATTTTTAAAATAATAACAATCTTCCCTATTCCTTTTAATCCCTCAATACCCACATCCCTCGTGATCTACTGTTGAAGTGCCGTACAATGACGCAGGCAGTTACGGGGATCATTTTTATCTTCTTTTTTCTCTTTTAAGAACCACTTATCACTTACAAGGCTTATCTCCATGCGTCTATTGTGTCCGCGTGGCGCTAGGGCACAGAATAAAGGGTACGCTAGTGGAGCGGTGAAAAAGCGTGGTAACTGCGCGGCCCAAACTATATCTTTATTGAGCAAATGAGCCATCTCAAAGTGTAGAGTAACAATCAACGAAGTTGGTGTAATATTGCTCATTGGTAACATTACATCACTTTGCATCACTTGAGTCGTGAAAAGGCTCCGGAGGGAGTCCCGCGTATTGTTTTCAAGTGCGAAGTGTTTCTAAGGAAACTTCCACGACTTTGAACATATCTATCTATCTATCTATCTATCTATCTATCTATCTATCTATCTATCTATCTATCTATCTATCTATCTATCTATCTATCTATCTATCTATCTATCTATCTATCTATCTACCTATCTATCTATCTATCTATCTATCTATCTATCTATCTATCTATCTATCTATCTATCTATCTATCTATCTATCTATCTATCTATCTATCTATCTATCTATCTATCTATCTATCTATCTAGCCACCTAGGACCTTGAGCTCTCTGGCCATTTCGGCAATGGTACCAGTACCAAAATTGGTATGGCATAAGATGACCGTATGGCGGGCATACATCACTTTTTATAACATGAAAACCATGACGTGTTGGTCATGACGGTCATGATTTACTTTTCTTGGTGTTCCTTTTCTTGCGGTGGTTTCGTTCATAAGACATATCGGTATGGTATGGTATGGTATGGTATGGTATGATATGACTGCATGGCGAACATAAGTGACAGACCCTAACGTGAAAACCATAACATGCAGTTCATGTAGGTCATGACTACACGCCGTGCTCAAGTTGCGGTCGCGGTCGTTTCGCTAGCTTGACATTTACTAAATTTGGTATTACGGGACAATGAATGGTTGACGAAGGTAAATGACGCGTATAGACACAATATTTATAATATGCGTGTCATGTAAAACGTGACTGCACGCTACGCCTAAGGCGCGCTCGTGGCCGTTTCGCTAGCTTCACATATACCAATTTTGTTAGCACGTGACGTGAAAGACGACAAAGACAAATAACACGTCCGATAATGAATCATGACATGCGTGTCATTCAAAACATGACTACACGTTATACGCTCATGTTGCGCTCACGGCCGTTGCGCTATCTCCACATATGCCAAATTTGGTATCACGTGACGTGAATAGACAACGAAGGCAATTGACACAACAAAACACTATAACCATACCTTGGGAAGGATGTGCGGCATGACTTACAACCGCCTCGTAGTATTGTGCTGGTTTTAAAGTGACATATCAGCCTTCCTCAGTCGCACTTCGCACATCATCATTTCGCAGTGGGTTCTGCCAATTTTACGACAGTGAGCGTCCACATAGTGCGCAGCGCTGTACTATTCACAAATTGTGGTCGCCGGGGTTGTTTGTCTATACGAATTGATGAGCAAGTTTTGGGCGATTGATGGATGGATTGAATTCATGATGTTTCTTGGAACGTGTTTTAGAAGTAGCGGGACGCACTCACGTCGGAACCGAAAGACCACGTCTCTCTGCTGCTTCGCGAGCCCATTAGAGAAGTGAAAAAAGACAGACCCTGTTTACTGGACCTTCATAAACATACCCTGACCAACTAAGGTAGTAACTGGTGTGTGACTTCATGCAGGACATGACTACTGTTATAAAATGCAGTTATAATCACCGCACAATATCTCTGCAGTATGGGCTAGTTGGTGTATGGCTGGATAAAAAGCTGCGCGGCTGTTACAAGTACATGAACTAGAGCGAACACACGTTACAAAGCAAACGCGAGAGGCGCACAGTCTCACCAGTAAATATTAAGAGGACATGGAGGAAAAAGGTTCTGTCGAGGAGGAAAAAAAGATGGCGGCATATCAACGGAGTGAATGATGGAGAGTGGGGCGAAGCATTTGTCCGTCCATGCGTGCGTATGTGTGGCAGCCCGTGTGTCTATCCACCCGTCCGTGCAGGCGTCTGTTCGTGCGTCCGCACGTCCATTTGTGCGTCCATCCCTGCCTTCGTCCATGCATCCGCTCCTGCGTCCATTCATGCGTCCATCCGTCCGTGCAGCCATCCGTGTGTCCGTCTATGCATCTGTCTGTGTGTCCGTTCGTCCACCTATTCAACACTCCAAGTACAACCATCTCGCATCTTTTCACCATATTTTTCTCATATATAAGCACCGTCATCCAGCGGACCTTTCAAGGACTGAACGAGAGGAGGTACACGCACACTTTCTTAAGGCTTGTGCATCGTGCCTACTTCCCACTTTTAACAACCTTGAGTTCAAGGTATATACTAGTTCAGTGTATTCATGGCACTGCGGCCCAATCCTCACTAAACCTTTCTAAAACCAAGAAAGCTACACTCAGCGAGTATAACGTAGCAACCCTTTTTTGTCAGATAGTGGTCAATGTGCAGTCAAATGGCTGCTAAGGGGTAATGAAAAACAGGAGAATTCGGCTTTTAGTTACGTGCACGCTGCGATTTTTTTATTTTTTAACAACGAACAGAAGAAATGTCCCACCGGCACCACCTTTGAGGTTGAAATCTAAAACTGGTTACAGACCAAGACTACTACCACTACTACGAAGGACGAATGGGTTCCGCTTTAAAAAGCTTCGCCCCTAAAAGCAGTTAACAGTTTACAGTGACGGAGGGGACTACAGTCATGACGAACTCTCCATGAATGTTACAGCAGTGGTGATTACGAGATTAAATATGCCCGACGTATCTTCCCCCTAATACTAGATCGAAAACAAGTTATCGTTTATCACTTATTTGTTGATTCGTTACTTTATTATTTACTTCACAATTTATATGAATCATAAACAATCATAACAATCAATAATAAACAATCAGTGGAAGGCGCATATAACTTGTGGCATCTGTCATCAACAATAGTGCCAATTCTTCATAGCGCATAAAGTAAATGCTGGTCCAATGAAAAAGATTCGCAGATCTCACGTACATTGCGTAACGACGTTATGTGAAGCATGCTTTAGGAAGGCAAGCGTGTTGGAATTTCTTGATTGATTTATACGTTATCAAATTGCCCTACATGAATGTAGAAATACTGCACGAACACACATATGTTGAACAGCTGTAGATGTTTATATAACCAATTGTTCACACTTGTGCAACTTGCGAACGAGAACATGAGTACTAGCAACACCACAAGCAATGAACTGTTATAAAGCGCTAGGGTTCGCAAGGATGGTTGCCCTAGACACTGCTACATATATCAACTTCAGCGCATGGCACTTAACTACAATTGACGATGACCCGACGTGACAGCTGTATTATAGGAGTATGTATGTAATGTTTAAGAAATTGGGTAGCCAGCAATGCAACCACAATGGACGTTTCACGAACATTAGGGTCTATTGGAAAAATAGTGCTGAAACCTGGCGTGGCTCTAGGTTAGAATGCTCGATTGCCACGAAGAATGTTGGGGTTCGGTTGTTACTGGGACTTTTACATTTATTCTTTGCCTTCGTCGGGTCAACGCCACTGATGTCAGGTATTTCGTAACGCCCACGCGTTGAAATCGCCCATGTCTTTTCTCGTCATTCCCTGGTAGATACTAAGTGTCAATCACCTGTGCACGTGCCCGCATACCACTGGCACATACCAGCCCCCGGGTATGTGCCACTGTCTGGCGAGAAGTGTTGCACAACGTAGACGACGGTATTGTGACATTATGCATGTCTTGACCAGCGCGCCATGTTCATCAAATCATCTTAACCTCCCATGCTAATTTTGGTTCTCGCCAAGTTGAGGGGGTGACCAAGTGAGCGTTCAAACATATGCGGCTAGATATATAGATAGATGGATAGATAGATAGATAAATAGATAGATAGATGTCAAAAGGGCTTCTAGTGTGCAATGAACTAACTTGAGTTTAATCAATGTGCCCAGCCTTGCCTCATTCTAACATTTAATATTACCTAATTTATGTAGCAGAATAGTATAAGGTCACATTTTCACAATGCTACCGGATAGAACTCAGTTAAACTTTCCCCCAGTTGTTTAGCACTCCTTTTGGCCCATTTCTTTGTCACTTTTCTCAGTTTTGACGCGCTATGTTATTATTAAGAATTGTTCGTCGTCCCCTTTCACCTATAACAGAATCCATGCATATAGACAGCAGAAACAAACGTCACTTACAAAATCAAAGCGGTTGAAGACCCAAAGTTTCGGCAAATTTCGCAGACTGGTCAACGTTGGAAGGAGGGCTACAATAATTACCACGCCTAGGACGCACTGCAACAAACAAAAGAAAGCAGTCAAATTGTTCATATGCAGGGCATGCAACTGAAAATAGGGCTTGTATTGCTGGCTGTAGTCGGCAGTTGGAACTGCCCTTGCATTACTCTCAGAGATATTATCGCGGTGTAGTCAAAAATAGGCGTGGCGACGTTATGCCTGTTCTTAGTAGATTGCATGGAAATTTGAACTTTGATGTTAGTATAAACGTCTTGAAGAAACTACTAACAGGCTATTGATAATTAACCCGCTCCCTTTCACGTTGTGCAATTGTAATATTTGTCACTTACTATATTGTGTATAAATATGTGTTTGGCTAAGATACTCGGCTGCAGAACCGCAGGTCACGGGATCGAATCCAGGCTGCGGCGGCTGTATATTCCATGGAGGCAAAAATGCCGTAAGCCCGTATGCTCATACTTAGGTGCACGTTAAAAACACCAAGTGGTTGAAATTTCCAGAGTCTTTCACACTGTCGTCTATCATAATCGTGTCATAGATTTGGTACGTTAGAACTCTTAATATCAATAATCAATTAAAGATATGCATTTATTATTTTTGTATAATGACCTGTCATACATTTGTTACGATGTACCGTTGTCATTATTGTTTTGTTTGTTGTTCATTTATTCTTGGTACACACATTCTATTTAAAGAAGCATACCAGCCGGTATACCATTTATGCATATTTTCAATTCTATTTGAAGAACTTTTCTAGTTTTCCCACTAGGTATAGTGAATTTTGAGCTTGATGTGTTTTGTGTGAATTGTGAACTTATTGTGCAGAAATTCTGGCGTCAACTTCGGCATCGTCGCATGTGAACGAAAAATCACCATCTTTGCGTGACCGAAACTTTCTGCATGTTTGCGGAACTGAGAAATTGAAAAAAGTTACAAACAAAATAAATAATGAAACATTATGGGTCTGACTGCGTATCGAAGCCATGTCGTTTGCGTAGCAAGCAGAAGTTGCAACGCACAGTCACACTTCTGCTTGGGCATGCAGGGAAAATAGCTTCCTGTGCTTGCAAATACTGTGGAGTTATCCTTCATGACTTACCAGCACAGGCGTCCTGCATTTAACGCATGCTTCACAATACAACAAGAAATATTACCGTAACAATGCGTGGTACAACAGGGAGAACATGCAATTATCAGAATGACTTCACAGTGTAGAGTCATTCACCCCCTACAAAATGCACACTCGCAACTGCACCCTCAAGGCCACGTCATGTAACGGGTGCCCAGCAAGTTCGAAAAGATATCAAACGTTAAGTGTTTGAAGTATGTACTAGAAACAAAATAGCGCTATAGCGTTAAACTTTTAAAGGCTAATTGACAAGGGTCCCTCAATTTTCGTCTGTCTTTTTCATTCTACACTCAAACAAACTTTTTTATGCTGTGAATTATTCTCTGTGTATTTTTATTTCTTTATACCATGCACATTTCTTGGCGTATTTCAGCAGAAATAAAGCCTCAGAATCTGACTGTACACCAAATAACGTAAGAATATAAATATTACGGAACGTAAAAACAAAAAGTGTAAACTTCAGCTTTTCCAGCAAGAGCAAAGAGAGAAATCACTGCATGACAATACCGCAATTTACGAAAATTCATAATATTACCAATACAAGGACTTTTTGTCTTTGTCAATGAACACGTGGCAGAATATACAAATTACTCACTCTCAGAAACAAGGTCGTGTCTTAGCTCTCCCTGTTTGAGTGTCGCACTCGCATTTCAAGACGTAGCGACGTCGTTATCGTTGTTTTGATGACAGAAGCAGTGCGAAAGAAAGTGAAGACTATAGCGAGATCAACTGGATCAATACATCATATGATAATAAAAAAATCAGCGCATCCCACGTACCTTGGAATCGACGTTATGCGAAGCATGCAAAGGAAAGGTGACCATGTTCTAATGTTTTATTTACCGACACGCCATGAAACGATTTCAAATATAAGTACAAATCTTGCACGCACAGACATATGTAGAAGAGTTGCAGATGTTTATATAACCAGTTGTTTCCACTTGCAGAACGATGCCAACTGGAACATGCATATTAGCAACACCATAATCTGATATGAATCGCTGACGCTCGCGAGGATGCTGGCCCTGGACACTGCTACATAAATCAACTTCAGCGCTTGGCAACTAACCACAATTGACGTTAACCTGACGTGACGGTTGTATCAAAAAAGAAATCATGCAATGTTTATAAAAAATGGGTAGGCAGCACTGCAACCACTACTGATGTTTCACGAAAATTAGCGTCTATTTGAAAAGTAGTTCCGAGACCTGGCATAGCTGTGTGATAAAATGCTTAACTGCCATGCCGAATTCTCGGTGTTGATTCCAGCTGGAACCCTGGCATTTATTATTTGCATTCGTGAGGTCGACGCTGCCGATGTAGGGTATTTCTTAACACTCACGCGCTAAAATTGCCCATGTGTGTTCTCGTCGTTCCTGGGTAGATACTGAGTGTCAATCACGTGTGGCACATACGCGCATACCAGCGGCACATGCCCACCGGTGGGTATGTGCCACTCTCTGGCGGAAACTGTTTACGACATATGCTATGGGGTTGTGACATTACGCACGTAATAACCAGTGCGTCTTATTCGTAAAACCATCTTATCCTTCCATGCTAATTTTGGTTCACGCCAAGCTAAGGGGGTGACCACGAGAGCACCCAAACGTAAGCGGCTAAATTGATAGATAGATAGATAGATAGATAGATAGATAGATAGATAGATAGATAGATAGATAGATAGATAGATAGATAGATAGATAGATAGATAGATAGATAGATAGATAGATAGATACGCTCAAAGTCACTGAAGTCCGCTATCGAATGCCTTGGATTTCATGAAATATTGCTCTCGACTCACACTCGCCTTAAGTAAGTGCACACAAGATAGGGTAAGGTTTATCTTTGAATTATTGCTGAATGCACCTCTGCCTCCTTGCTGTAATCTCTCTTTGGCGAAGCGGTATCCGACTAACTGAACGAATGAACGAACGAACGAACCAACGAACGAACGAATGAATGAATAAATGAATGAATGAACGAATGTATGAACGGATGCCTTTAAAAACGTAGCGAATACAAAGCGTGAGACACATCGTTCCTAAGGGTAGCCCCATTTGAGCTCTAAAAAATGGGTTGATCCTTAAGCCTCGACTTTAAGATTTAAGTGCAATACCGATATGCTGTTCTTAGTGCGTACTTAGTGTATACTCATTATTTTATGATGCTATTTTAGGAACTCAAATTGTGAATTACAACAACGTATTCACTGAACTTGACAGTGTCTTGTGTCACTTTCGGAGACGATTACAATCTGTGTAATGAGTAGCGTGCTTTAAACCACAAGCAGATATAAAATTGAAATATTTTCAAACTTGAAATATTCAAAACTGTGAAATATTTTCAAACTTGCTATGCACCCAATTTGTAGTCTCAAGAGGATATGCGCAGTTATGTATTCGTCTCTTGTAACGCGGTGCCAATGTAAACCATGAAACCGTTATAGCCAGACGTTCTGGTACCCGATGGTGGTGGGCGCTTGTACTACGCAATCATACTGCGATATAACATGCTGTATTGTGAAGCCTGTATAGAGTACACATATGATTGTAAATATGAACATTATTTGCACCCCATATACAAGCCCAGGAAGGTAATTTAAGTCTACTTAGAAGCAGAGACATGGCTGAGTGATATAACACCTGCTTGCCATGCAAACGGCCTAGCTTTCTTCCTGACTCAGAGCCAAAAAAGTGTTTAGTATTTAAATTTGCATATTTCTCGTTTTTTGGTCACGCACAATAAGATAATTTTTCACTCACAGCCATCGATGCCGACGCTGACACTGACGCTGAAATTTCTGCGAAACGAACTCTTTAACACTGTCTCTTCTAAAGTTTTTTTGTAAAGCGGGCACGACAAATGCTGGTTGAAATGAAGACTGCAATAAATGCGTAATGTATCACCCACCTCTGGCAGAGGCCGAAAAATCGGCGCTAGTGAATAGAGCGTGAGAGCCACGAGGACGCATGAAACCATGCCACCGACCTGTAAGCAAAAATGAGACCTCCAAAGATGGTGTCGCCAGTTCCTATATACTCACACAAGCACCCTGTAAAACAACAGAACCGCAAGTTTGGCTTGGGAGTGGAAAGTGTTGGACTGGGTACTGCGACGCCTATACTTTCAACTTTTGGAGCGGCGTCCCTTTGATGAGCAATAGTATCGGCGACTTGAAATTAAACATTGTGGTACCTCAGAACCTAGCTTCGTGGTGGGCTCTAATTTTGGGGTTTCTTTGTATTTCACTTGTGCTTTGCCTTGCTTCAAGTATCGTAATACCTTGGACGCAACAGCTTACGCAAAGTCACCTTACAGCTTTGTGCTCCAGTACCTCCTGCTGAACCTTTATTCATGTACCGAATTTTCGTACCCTGACAAAACTTCATTCAGGATATGGTATCATTGATAGGCCTAAGCACTTATCATATTGTTCTCGTGATTTGCTCCTCTGAGCCCCTTTGCCATTACTATAGTAACGGCAAAGGGGCTTAGAGGAGCACAAAAACAGGATATCAAATAATGAATAGTTGTTTATGAAGTATACTGCATAAACAATTATTCATTATTTGATATCCAGTTTTTTTTTGTTTTTAGAGTGAAATGACCCGCGTATTGAAATGCTACTCTGTCAGATTATCGCTTGCATTTTTGGGCTGCTGTGCCCCATGCTGAAAGATCTTTGATACAAAACTCTTTAAAACGAAGAAGAGAACAAAAACGCTGTGGCATACTGCCTTCACTCTACAACTCCCCCCCCCCCTTTATTTTTCGTTGTAAGCAATAGTGCAGTCATTGTCCACATGTCCACTATATGTTCTCTTGGCCAATCCCCCGGAGTGGGTATGAGCCATGGATTAGAGGCTACAAACAAACAAACAAACCCTAGCCCGCCACCCCAATGACGAGCACGTGCCCGTACTTTGTAATTTTCTGTGTAGCTATCCTTGCGTGTGTCTTCCGTTCCCCATATACCCCTGTCACAATAATGAGGCTACTCCATATCATGTATCACCATCCAAAACAGACACGTTACATACAATTAAGCCTTTTCGGGGCGTTTGCCGTGTGCCGCCATGATAGCTCTGTGCAGTTCCACTGCTTATTTGAAAGGCATCACCACACCACCACGCAGAATGGCCCCGTCAGAGTCTTAGTGAGTAGCACTTTAAAGAGCCTTGATGGTCATTTATCGATAGACCTCATCAGACGTGATCACGTTTAAGATCAAGCCCTAAATTAAGGTGTAAAACAATGATAGCAATTCTCAAATCTGGGTTCAAATCTCAGAAGTCTAAAATAACATTCTTACCAGCAATAACTAGTAAGTAGTTCGAATAATGAAACAAAGATCACAAGCATTGGCCCCATATCTGCATGTTACACTGCAAATGTCGTCTCGAAAGACGATAGTATTGCGTCTGGAGGGAGTGAACAAAACATTTATTTGATGGCCTTCGCAAGAAAGTCAGTGAATATTATTATGGAGGCGCTGCGTTGGAGTGCCTCGAGTGTGCAGCGAAGGCAAACGAGCACATCAAGTCAAGTCTCAAGTCAGGAGCGCTATCAAGTCAGGAGCGCTATCTGGCAGTTAGTTATCTCGAAAAACGAAGCGCGCTGCGTGCGCGCCCGTCTTAGTGGTGACAAGGTGTAGAACGCAAGGTGACGGGTAGGTGCCACAACCATGCCGCCTTATCAAAGCGTTGGCGACACTTGCGTTTTCGTGCAAGCGTTGCATGATCAGCACAGCGTGATAAACGCTACGGTTTTAAGAATTACTTCTGTATGGTGTTTCTAGTAAAAGACACACATACAGAAAATTAACGTAGTGCTATGGTGCCTCAGACATGCGCAATAATTGATTTTTAATTGACAATTGCACAAGTATGAACGCTGATTCTTGAGCAATATTGGTCGGTGCAGCGGATAGGCTTGGCCGTTTGCGGTATCGTCTGGTGCCTTTTAAGTTACCGTTAAGGGCGGACAAACAGACAAATGTACAGACATACAGACAAGCAGACAGAGCAAAAATTTTTTGTCGAAGGTGTCCAAGAAAGACCATTGTCATTAAAAAAAAGAAACGTTTCAGCAACATTCGGCTGATTTCCGATCTGAGCACTAAGGGGCGCACCACCTCGCCAAGCCAGTGATTGTTCCAGCCACTCGCGTTTCATATGAAGCGGGAAACAATGTGACAGATCTCTCTGCAGACGATGACACGTGTCTCAACTGCTGTATTAGGCAGGAAGTCAATATAAACGCAGGAAAAAAGTGGCGCTCATGTCGCACACGGAGTCCGCAAAACTCTTTTACAAAGTTTCACTCGTGCCGGGAAACCCTATGTGTGTTACTTCGAATATTGAGGTGATCGATGGTTTCGTAAACGATGCAGAGCACACTCTACGAACGGTAATCACTGGGTGCTTGCGCGACGCACTTCCTGACGTTTAATCCCCGCCGCGGTGGTCTAGTGGCTAAGGTACTCGGCTGCTGACCCGCAGGACGCGGGTTCGAATCCCGGCTGCGGCGGCTGCATTTCCGATGGAGGCGGAAATGTTGTAGGCCCGTGTGCTCAGATTTGGGTGCACGTTAAAGAACCCCAGGTGGTCAAAATTTCCGGAGCCCTCCACTACGGCGTCTCTCATAATCATATGGTGGTTTTGAGACGTTAAACCCCACAAATCAATCAATTAATCTTGACGTTTAACGCTAGTGGAGCAGCAATGAGCACCCCAGAACCACATGAATCGCACGCCAACATGACATACTTTGTTATGCTTCGCCGCAGAGAGCCTCGGTCATGCGGCAATGCTGACGTTTCAACTTTTTGAATTCACTACAGCCACAAATATTTTATCTCTTTCTTCCTTTATTATATACTGTAGACCTTATATAGGTCAAGGCAAGATGTGGATCAAAAGCCAGAAAAACATACAAATCAAATATATACATAGGTAATAGTTTGAAACCATAACAGTGTGACGGAAGTCAACAAAATTATTCCAATTAGTTGTAGTGGCAGGGAAGAAAGAACAACTAAATAAATTTGTTCTCGTAAAATAACGTGTCATTGAAGTAGAATAACGACGTCAGGTAGGTCTTAATTCAGAATATGAAAAATAGGGTGAAGGTTTAAAGCTAGTTACTGACTACAAAACAGGTAAAGAAATTGTAAACATGCAGTCTTGCGTTTTATTGTCATGGAATGTTATTAAGCGGCGTCAATCCAGTGGTTGAGTGATACGAAGAACATTTTGAAAAAAATTTACCATATACCTCTTTGTTGCACATTCTCTACACTGCTAATGTTGGTATTAGTGAAGGGATCCCAAACAACAGATGTGTACACTGTGAAGAACAGGCACAGAGAGCAAACACCCTTTCGTTGGGCAAGCTCGTCTATTCTCCCTTTCATCCTACTCCACTTTGCTCCAGCCGCCGAGCCGCGTTGCCGTGCTGGCTCTTCACACTCAGCCACGCTGCAGACCTGACGAACAAGAATAAACAACAGCTCAGTTTAAACGATGCACTTGTTTCTTGAAGCCAGACGCGTGCACTGCAAAGTTATTCCCTTTTCGCCGGTCAAGTGCAAAGCTGGAATCTAAGCAGCTAACGAACCAGGTATTCTGCCCTAGGCGTTCGGTGATAGTGAAGGGATCCTTGAACTTCGTGAGTAAATTCCCACCCGAGCAGCTGCCACCCCTTTGCACTCACACCTCGTCTCCAATGTTGTTCTCAGGGGCATGCCTCCGGCGGTGGTCATAATAGTGCTTCTGCTTTATTTAGGCTTGTGTGGCTCTTCTCCTCGCCGCAGCTCTGAGCTTCTGGCAGGCGTCTGTACAGTTGTCGTAGCGCGTGTGGAAAACCGGAACGTCCAGGCTGAGGGCCGCTTGTATAGTCGGGGCAGCTTTCCATGTAAGATTTCATATGGTATCGCACCAGTATACGTCTGCAGCGCCGCGTTGAATGCATAGCCAGCAACCTCAGGTGAATATCCCAGTTGGCCTCTTTTTTCTTAATTAGTTCATGGAGTCATGCCTTAATAATTTGATTAGTGTTCTCAGTAAGGCTGTTTGTTTGAAAATGAAACGCAGATGCGTAATGGGGCTGTACACCCGCCTTGGAAAGGTGCCTTCGTGATTGTCGGCTCCTAAATGTCGTTGCACGGTCTGATATCAATTTCTTTGGCAAGCCATGCCTCCATTCAAATCTTCACTTCAGGAAATCGACCAAATGAACGGAGGCAAGTGATGACACGGCTGCCACTTTCACATACTTCGATAAATAGTCTACGACTACAATGACATATCGCTTTCCAGCAGTGATGGTGCGGAACGGCCCGGTGTAGTCAATGCCCACCATATGGAAGATCTGGTCGGGTATCACATGTATCAACATGTATGAACAGTCCGGGCTGGCACCCGAAAAGCCGCTTATACTGCTGACACGGTTCGTAACTGGCGACGTAAAAGCGCACAGTACTTTGTATTTTCGGTTACGAAAACCTTGTAATTTACGAACCATGGCTCCTTGTCCGATGTGCCCTCCTTCGGGGTCAGTTAGTTATCTTGCAGCTCATGAATGGCCTGTCATATATCGGCGTGCAAACATTTAGGAACGACCAGTAGGTATTGTTTTTCCGAGAGGTCCTGGTACCGCTGACGACGCAACAGCACATCATTGCGTACCGCAAAAAAAAAAAACGAATTTGTTTCCGTACTCATTGCCGATGCAATTATTGGCGCCATGTCCTCGTCCTCTTCTTGAGCTTTGCGCACATCTACTTCAGCAAAATAGATGTGACTTTTCTTGCTTTCTTCAACACGCATGAGTGGGTTGTGTGACAAGTCATCGGCGATGTTATTAAAGACCTCAGCGTGGTGACGGACATCGAAGTCATATTCTCGGTGTGTGATAATGCACAAGCCAACTTTTGCTTGAGCTGTTGCTTGGAAACATGCAGGTTAAAGCAGCATTGTCAATTACGA